AACCGGTACCGAATTCGGTCATAAAGAATCCAGAGAAAACGAATCTGCACGTGGAGCCTACCACGTGTTATTACCCGACGGAAGAATGCAAATCGTTCAATACGAAGCAGACGAAACCGGATACAGGCCACAGATTCGATACGAAGATACCGGATATCCGTCCGCCGCCTCATCGAGATCTAACAACGGTTTCAACGGATATCAGTATTAGATTAAAATAACAATTGAACACCCCCACAGAAATTTTTTTTTTTTTTTCTAAAACCTACCCTTCGTCTTTCGCCATGTTTTTTTTTTATTTTATGTTGGTATTAACTTAAAAATTTTTGTTTTTATTTATATATGTAAAAAAAAAAAAACTAAATAATAATAATAATAATATATTTTACAAAAAAAAAATGAAAATTTATCTTTTTCTTTCAACATTTCACGAAAAAAAAAAAAATTACCTTTAATCCTCGCCTATTATTATTAATATTGAATTTTTTTTTTTTTTTATTAAATAAATTTCAAGTTAAGGTTATTTTATTTATTATTTGGTATTTAAACAATCGAATATGAGCTCTGAATAAATTGTTTGTTTGCGTTCGGTTTGTTTTGTCGTATATTGATTATTCAATAAATGATTTTCATGTATTTTGCCAAAAAAAAATTTTTTTTTATACGATCTCATTGCGACTTTACGTTATTACGTTGTATTATGTATTCGTCGGGAATACAAATACGTAAATTAATAATTTTATTAAATATTTGCCAAAAAAAAAAATAAATAAATAAAATTTTCATAATAACATCCACCTTATTTATTTATTACCAATATTTAAAATTTACTCGTAAATTTTTATTATTATTATTATTATTATTATTTTATTAAATCAAACCGAAGCTAATACCAACAAAAAAAAAAAAAAAAAAAAACTTTTTACGTTATTTATAAGTTTTTCAACACCAACAACAACAACATGGCGCGGAAAATTGTTTGCAATACAACAAAACCTAAAATTTAAATCCATTTAACCAACCCTTCGTTATAAATAATAATAATAATAATTATTATTATTATCGTTATACGAATATATAAAATTATTATCATTATCATTTTTACCCTTCGCGACTTTAACTCTATCGTTTCAAAAAATATTTTTATTAATTAAATTTAACAAACTTTTATATCATTATGGGTAAAAGCGTTTCGAATAAAACAAACAAACAAACAAACAAATATGGACAAACGACGATAATTTTAAATCACGTAATAATAATTATTATTATTATTATTATTATTAAAATATCGAAAAATAAAATAAATGTAGAAAAATATTTCGAATTATTTTAATTAAAAAAGTTTTGATAATGTATAAATTATAAAACGTTTGCCAACTAATGTGCGTGCGTGTGTACGTGCGTGCACGTGCATGTTTTCCGTCTCGAAATTACGTTAATTTCTGTTGCAATAACAATTTTTTTTTTTTTTAAAAAAGTATTATGCAAAGAGTTTTTGTCGTCGTCGTCGTCGTCGTATTAAACTTCCACATAATTTATTTGTGCCCACGACGAGAGGTCAAATTGTGCTTGACTACTACCAAGCAAGGTTAATACAAACAGACAGAAGAGTCCCCGCCCCCCCTCCCTTCTCTCCGCCCGCCTCCCCCTCCCTTCTCTCCGCCCGCCTCCCCCGAAAACGTTCCCCTTTTTTCTCAAAAAAAAATTTACGAAAATGAATTTTTTTAACCTAATTTTATATATATATAATAATAATAATAATAAATATTGCAATGAATGTTTATTTTGATAAAAAAACTTGTAGGGTTCTTATCGACGACGACGACGACGACGACGACCACGTTTTTTTTTTTTTTTGTATGTGATAAGTAAATACTTGAAATAGTAGTGGAAAAATGCATTAAGTAATATGGCTACGATCCTAACTTTAAAAACTTTTTTTTTTTTTTTTTCTAATTTTCCCTTTATTTCGTCGTCCATTTTTTATTTATTTTTTTCAACGTGCAAACATATAAAATTTTCAAACCGAAAACAAAACATCAAAACTTAATATCATTTACGAACAAAGTTAATTTATCATTATTATCATCATCATCATTATTATTATTATTATTATTAACTTTGTAATTTAAGCATAATTAAAAGAAAAAAAATTAAATTCGATTCGATTATGCGTATCAACGACGGGGGGTGGGGGTGGGGGGGTGGGTGTGTGATTACACAATACGTATAAATAATAAAATTCATATAATGAGATGATCCACACGTGGGTTCGCGCAAAAACTAACGTGGCACCTTTTAATTAACGTCCTTCGAATTATTAAAAAAATTCCTTATTTATATCATTATTATTATTATCATTATTAATAATTTACAAGGTTAATAACGCATTTTGTAACGTTTAATTATTATCATCATCATTTTTAAAAACTCACATTCATCTCCTCACACTTCCTTATTTATTCATTTATCTTTTTTTTTTTTTTTTTTTTTTTCAAAATTATAATAATAATAATAATGATAATAATGATAATAGTAATTTTTAATTAATAATTTTAAATTTCTCACGTCAATAATAATAATAATAATAATAATGATAATTTTTTTTTTTCGTGTGTTTATAGACGTGTTAAAAATGGATGATTTGTAAGAGTGCAAAAAATAATAAATAAATAAATAAATTTTTTTTCGGGAGATTTTATGCGTTGAATTTTTATGTACATAAATAAGAGATTATTTAATAAAGATGAGAATTATGCGTTTTGTATATTAATTTAATGTTGTTTTAGAGACGAACAAAAAATATAGAAAATAATAATAATAAAATGATAATTTTTTTTTTTTTTTTTTTTTAGTTTTTCAAGGAAAATTTTTTTCTTTTTTTTTTGGGGGGGAAAACATGAAAATTTTGGTAAAAAAAAAAAAAAAAAAAAATTGGCGATAAATAATTTTAACACGTCTTTTTTAAAAAATTTTCCCAAAAAAAAAGCTTTTCACGTTTACTCATTAACATTATTATTATTATTATTATTATTATTATTATTATTATTCGTTCCGTTCATTTTCCTAATTTTTTTTTTTAAAGTAAAGAAAAGAAAAGAAAAATTAAAATTGATTATTATTATTATTATTATTTATCCAATCATCATTCACCAAAAAAAAACCTGTCATTCTTCATAAAACTATTATCGCATAAATAATAATAATAATTTTTATCATTGACTTATATCGCGATTTGGGAAAAATGTCGAAACCGTTTTATTTTTAACCCTACCCCCCCCCCCCCGCTCTCTTTCCGCGTTATAAAAAAACCCATTAACCTTTAATTATTATTATTATTATTATTATTTAAAAAAATTTTTACCCTGGTTTTTAACCTTTCGCGGAAATTCAAAAAATACGACCTTGCTGTTACTCGAAACGTTATTATTATTATCATTATTACTATTATGACTTTAATGTATGACGAATAAAATTTAATATATTTTGGCCATCACCTTGTTTGGTTCCTAAAACGCGTTTGCAAAATTATTAACAAAGTTGTTTTTAATGGGGAAAAAAAAAAAAAAAAAAAAAATTGGCATTGCACGTTACATAATTCAGCCAAGTTTTTATTATTACAAATGGCAAAGAATTTTTTTATTTTAAAATTCTATTTAAAAAAAAAAATAGTTAACGAATTTTATAACCAATTCAGTTAAATTATTTACAACACCATAGAAAGAAAAAAAAATCATTAAATTTTTTTTTCTTTTCTATTCAATGATAATGATAATAATAAAATAAATAAATAAAATCTAAAATAGAATTTTAATTTCGTTACGGCCCAGAACAACAAAAACCACACCTACTGCCAACAAAGACCTTACGCACGGAAGAAGAGCTCAACATCAACAACAACAACAACAACATCAACAACAACAACAACAACAACAACAACAACAACATCAACAACAACAACAACAACAACAACATCAACAACAACAACAACAACAAAAAGCAGACAGAAAACAAGGTTAACATGAAATAAAAATAAAAATGCAATTATTAAATTACATACGTTTGAAATCTCCTTTTCTCTCTCTCTCTCTCTCTCTGTCTGAACATCCAATGTAAAACTTGATTGGTAGCATAACATTTTAATTAGTTTTTTTTTTATTGCCTGATCCTGAAATAAATAAAAACATTTCATTTAAAATAAAGATTGTATATAAATATAAATTAATTAAGCAATACAAAAAGTTTTTAAAAGTAAAAATTACATTTTTTTTTTTTGTTTTGTTGTTGTTTTAACTTAACGTGTAACTTTCTAATGTGCAATGACAATGTTACCCTTCACCCCAATCATCACGAAATCAAAATCAACAAGAAAGGATTCGTCTGTGTGTCACGACCTTCCCTTACTTGAAGTTACGTTGAAGAGCATGAAAAATAAAAAATAAAATCATCATCATCATCATCGAACGTAATATGTTTGAATAAATAAATAAATGCAAACAAGAGGAAAACTTTAACGAATTATGCATAAAATGATGATTGTGGTAATAAAAATAACCGCAATAAAAAATTATTAAAATGATTCTTCATCAGACGAAATGGGTAATTTGTTAACAGTTAACGTCACGCTTAATAACATTTCTGTCACGATTAAATAATAATCTTAGCCAATTGATGACTTATTGAACAGAATTTGGATTGATCACAATGAAAGATAAAACGTGATGTTTTTTTTTTTTTTTCTTCTTTCAATAACAAAAAAAAAATCTGCAAACCTTAGTCAATTCCTTAGAATCTGTCCTCCACAATTTCCTGTATGTACCACCAATAATAATAATAATTTTTATCCGTTATTATTGTTAAATAAATAAATTAATAAATAAATATTTATTTATAGAATATGTGTTCTTCTCCTACCTGCAAAAAAAAACAATAGATTTACTTTAGTTTTAGTTTTTCTTAATTTCATTTTTTTTTGTTAATTATAGCACAAAATTTGATACAAATTTTAACTAATTAGTTATTATTAACTGTAGGATT